AAGCGGCCGGGGGGGGGGGGGGGAAATCTGCTGCCACTACCACTGCCCACAGACAGAGCTATAGTCAGTCTCTTCTCCCCCATTGAGACAATCCCTACCTGGCTCCCCAGCCAATGTCCTGCCCCCCATCTCTCCTCCTCCACATCCTAATGTCTGCCCCCAAAGACTCCCAACATAAACAGATCTCCCCAAACCCTCATACATTCCCCTCAGATCTAGCCCCCTTGAGTTTTACTCCCCATCCCCCCAGAGACGGCCTTCTATGCATCCCTGCATCCCAGTGTTCACCCCAAAGACCCCCTCTGTAATCACATTGCCCTCATCCAACCAACACAGCCTACATACCCCTAGCCCCCAATTTCCTAGAGGGCCCCTCGGCTACTTCTAGCTGACCCCCTCTCCCTTGCAGAGGCCTGGTCCCCCACCTGGAATCACCCCATCCCACACTGAGGCACACAGCCCCCCCCCCCACCCATAGGAGGGTGTTGAGAGGAGCCAACGAACTGGCTGTAATTCTGGCCACCCCGCACAGCATGTACCAGCCCGCTGGCGGAAGGATACAATATGCCCCACCCCCTTGGATGGCACCATTAGTGCAGATGGCACAGACAGACAGGACGGTCAGTAAAATGATGACATAGGCTACCACCAGCATAAGCAGCGACTGCAGGAACCCAGCATGTCCCACCACGAAACCTAAGAGATGACAGATAGGGAGCTGCAGGTAAGAAGGGAGGGGCATTGGCAGAACTGGAGGGAGGGCAAGCCCAGAATTCTGCCCTCTATATAGCTTCCAGGATTGGGCCCATCCACATGGCCTTAGGGCCCACCTCCCGGTTAAGCACGAACCTCTCCTGTTTAATGGTGCTCACCTTTAGTCAGCCACTAATTACAATAAGGAATTGGCTTTCAGTGCCCATAAGGTACAAGTATGCAGGCACCAGTGATCTAGGGAACTCCATGCCTTATGATGTCGATGGAATGTATGCACAACCAACCCCGGATGAATCAGCTGCTAATTGTGACAAGAAGCTGAACAACCAGCTGGGTTGGAGGCAGCAAGGGGTAAGTATGGGCCAAGCCCCCATTAGCCCACCACATGATTTTGGCCGGAAATCAAGCATGCATCAGTGGGGATGGGGACGGAGGTTTCCTGCTATTCTTAAGGGCAGCACACAATGTGGGCAGGGGATGGAGGGAGAGAATCCTATGGGAGGCAGAGAAATTTCCTTGGGGGGGGGAGTTGAGGAGGGAGAAGAGGGCTTTTGCCAATAACCATGCACTAATCAGCAGGGTAGAGTCACTCACCCACACGCATGAAGACAACGATGCTGAACATGGACAACACTGTGGGCACCACGACGCCAAAGAAAGTGGAGAGCCGTCGGGCCGGGTCAGGCTGTGGGGGGCCCAGGGGGCCTATGCCCCCACCCACGAGGGGTGCCTCCTCTTGGGCCCGGCTGCTTGGCATCTCCCCCTCGTCCACCACGCTGAAGAGCCGGTAGCTCAACAGAGGGGAGCTCTCAGTGGACATGGCAGGGGGGCCTGGTCACCCTGGGAGAGGGGAAGGAGGCATTATTGGCAAAACCCCTCTTCTCCCTAGTTCTCCTCCCCAGCTCCCATGCCCCTCCTCAGGCACCCCTGCAATCCCTCACCCAAAAATCTAGCTAGATCATCTCCCCTTTGGCCTGAAATTCTGCAAACACCAAATACATGGTCTAGTCTGCCATACTGCACAGGGATGGGAATGCCAGCCTTAAAATTGCAGAGATTAAAAGGAAAAGACTTCAGTCCTGCTGCAATACACAAGCATGCTCTGAATCCCACTGTAGATCTGCCTTTGAAATAAGGAGAGAAAATTGGGTTTGTACCATACAAACCTCCCCAGGTGCTTTTATTTAACAGGTAGAAAAAATTATCTGTGTTTTGATGCACAAAGCAGATGGCTGGGAAACTTCAAAAGACAGCTAAGAAAGTGGGTTTGAACTCTTAAAAAATACCAGGCTAGATTCTTATGATTAAATGGAGACAGGAAATGCACACTCTTGTTTAAAAGCTCTCTCTGAAGCAACTTAAAAACTGGGGTATGAACCTTTAAAGTCAGCCCGGTTTGGGAGCAATCAACGAGGAGAAAAATTAATCCAAGTCAGATGCAGGAAAGAGCAAACCAAATTCAGGAGACACCCAATGGGCGTGGATCCTCCAAATTCAGCCCTCCACCCCCAGAGATGGGGAGGACACCCGTGTTCCTGGTTTCTCTTCTAGGGTAAATGGGTGGGGGTGGGGGTGGGGGCAAACTTCTGGAGGGCGGAAGCTCACCGGCTGTAGGCTGTGGGTCAGGCTGCCCCCGAGGACGCAGGGAGGAGACAAGGAAGAAGGAGCTTATGCTGGGAGAGGATCATTTAAGCCGGCGCGTTCCTAGGAGGGCGGGCCTTAGCCCCCAGGTGGAAGGTAGCTGAATGGAGGAGATTAAATGGATTTCCTGGCCACCAGACCCACCCCCTTCACAGCGCTGGGGAGAGAGGAACCCAGGAGTCCTGGCTCCCAGCCCCCGCTCCAACTCACCAGCCCCCACTCCTCTCCATAGGCCAGAAAGAGAAACAGGAGTCCTGAACCGCCAGCTCCCACTCTTCTCCCAGAGCTGGGAAGAGAACCCAGGCGTCCTGGCTCCCAGCCCGGAGATGCACAAACCTTTAGTTGGGGATGCTCTGGGGTGGGGTCGATGGGGAGGGGGGGGAGGTGGCCGGGTCCCTCCCCTAGCTCCATGCAGTGCTCTCCTGAACCGGCGGCTGGGGCACAGGCTGCTCACGTGAGGCGGCCCACCTGTGACGAGCCCCCCCCCTTCCACTCCCGCCCCCGGGTGTGACTTAATGGGCTGCTGTGAGCTCAGATCCTGCCCCCCCTCCACAGTGTCCTCCTCCAGCTCTTCCTCCTCCCTTCCATCCCTGCATTCGTCCTCATATACATCCATCCTTCTCCTCCTCTCTCCTTCCTTCTTCCCATCTCTGCCTCGCTCTCTCTCACACACACAGAGAGCTCTTTCTTCTCCTGTCCTGCTTCCTTCCTCCCATCCCCATGCTGTGAGCTCAGATCCTGCCCCCCCTCCACAGTGTCCTCCTCCAGCTCTTCCTCCTCCCTTCCATCCCTGCATTCGTCCTCATATACATCCATCCTTCTCCTCCTCTCTCCTTCCTTCTTCCCATCTCTGCCTCGCTCTCTCTCACACACACAGAGAGCTCTTTCTTCTCCTGTCCTGCTTCCTTCCTCCCATCCCCACATCCAGCCTGTGCCTCCCCATGCACACTCTCTGCTATCACCCCTGTACACACACATTTTCTCTGTACACACACACACACACACACACACACACACACACACACACACACACACACGCTTTTCCAGTTTACTGGTACAGAGCATTGGGTACATAACAAACATACGGTACACACCACTGTGTAAACACACACACAGACACTTTCCTGGTACACATGCACAGTGCTGTGTAAATAAACATACACACTTTCTTGGTACACAAACACACACTTGTGTGTTACACACATTACTGTGTACATGCATACATGCTCAGTACCCACACACAGTACTGTGTACACACACACTTTCTTGCTACACACAGAGTACTATATATACACACACTTGCCTGGTACACATGCACTGTGCTGTGCACACATACACACAATACACACAGTCACAGGGGCTGGTTTCTGACCCGTCCTGTGGGGAGGGATATTTGTGGCACCCAAGAGGCCATGCAGTGACCCTGATAGTGGGACCCTGACCCGACCTCAGCACCTCAAATCAATTTGACTGACTGTGGCTGATGGGTCGAGGTAACAATACCCAGTCACCCCTCCCCAGGCCTGCTGGTGCACCTCAGTCCTGCCCCACTGCACCCC